CATTTTCAGAAGTAAAGCTGTGTATTAGATCCCCAGAGTGTGATTTTCAGAAGTCAGCACGGATGCTCCCGGTACAGGCAACGGCTGACATCAACAAGGGGGGAGTTACCCCAGTGTTGACCTATCAGAAAATCCCACCCAGTAATCCTTGCTTAGACTCTCAAATATATGCCGTTGCTTTCGACATGCAGAACAACAGGCAGCCACTGGTGGACAAACACATGGAGATCAAGGCAGCTCAAGGGATACCCTAAATCTGCGAAAGCTCTGATGACTGTTTAACCTAATTTGAGAACAACTAGAACAACAAGCATCCTAACAAAGCTTGCAGCTGCTGAAGTGCTTTGACCAAAATAAGCCTCAGAAAAGAATGGCAGGCTTTGGAATGCTGAGCCACAGAAGCCATACTATACCCATGAAATACATACATACATCTATAGGCATCACTTAAACACGTTCACCAAGTAATGTAAGCCTCAGATTGTACCTCACGCGAAGAGTAGTGATTTTAAAGTTTTCAAACTGCCAAAAAACTCTGTTCTTTTAGCCAAGTTATAATCCCAGCCTCGAGTAAGAGGACATAGTTGTCATGAATATGTACAAATTAAAAAAACCCACACAACCTACCCCTGTTCTCATCCTCCAGTCTTTCAGAATTTGACAGCACTGACCATGAGGTTTTCATAAGCGTGTAAGTGATTTAAGACTTGTATCACCGACAGAGTTTGCCCTGTGCAGTGACACAGACTGGACACCATCCATCTCCCTTCTCCCAGCAAGAGGCTCAGGGGAGTCAGAGGATTTTGTGTCAGACAAGTCTCCATGGCAGCTTGGCTAGCTGCTCTGGGGTTACACCAGGATATTCACTTGGCCCAAGGCAAAGCTGAAACCTGGCCTGCTTAGACAGAAGGTATCTTCTTGTGCTGGTCTCGTTTAGGTGAGTTCCATACAGGACCACTGCTTTAGGGTGGCTACTAATTACAATGGTTTATGCCAGAGAAAAATCCTGCCCTTGGAGGCTGTAGCACTTTCAATCCTTGCATTGCTACCTGATGTACTTTTTCCTCAGTCCAAATAAACCTCTGGCCTGTACCCCAGCTGATTCCTGGCACAGATTTAACAGCAGATGCATTGGGAGGTCCCTCATTGTTTAAACATTTATAATTTTTACAGAGTAGTTTGTTGTTCAAAGGGGAGGACCGAGAACACTTTGGGCTGGCCTAAATTTGCTCCTTCTGACCATGTGAGCAAAGTCGGGTCAATGGTGTGGCCTTTGGGAAAGCTCTTGCTTGCACTTGCTAAGGGAAGTGCTCTAATAAATAATCAAAATGCAGCTAACAAAACAGATAAGCAAGGTACCTTCTCTCAGGCAGGGCTGGGCCTGCCTCCTAACACTGTTCAACTGGATGTTGCCAACAGGACAGCAGATACTCCCAGAGGGAATCCGGACGTGTTTTCCCGGGACCTGTCCTCCTTGCTCTTATTTAAACCAGCCTCCTAACAAGGGGCTGTGGCACCCCTGGATGAGGGTGCTGCTGTCACAGGTGAGAAAAGCAGCAGGTGGGTGGTGGGGACAGTTCATCAAGCGCAACACAGTGCAGGTGGGAAAGAAAGCCAGCATTTCTAATTACCCCCAGCACTGAGGGTGATGCTCAGGCACACAGTTCCCAGCAGGTGACCAGCCATGGAGAGTGGCACTGGCTTTCTGACTGCTTTCCTACAGTATTGTCCTGTGCACTGGTGCTCAGCTTAGGTGATGCCATTTCTCTTGGGGCTGACAAAGCCTCTTCTTTCTGGAGCAAATGTTCCAGTCCCACACGGTGAAGCTCCAGGTGAAGCAGCTCGCTATACTACACCCATGCTGCTGGGAGAGCTCTGGGAGAGAGAGGCGAGGTGAGGCCAGGCATACTGCTTCTATCTAAAAATATCCTCTAAAAAGCACAAGCCGGAGACCAGCTCTTTCAAAGAAATTTCCAAGACAGCTTCTTTGGCTCGCCCCTCTAGGCAGCCTAGGTATCAGATGCTGGGAACGCACACTGGGGGGCTCTGGTCATGTTTGGCGGAGAAATGCAGGCTTCATAACTGCTCTCCCAGAGCAGATGTGACCTCCCAGAGCCTGGGGAAAGCAATATCGGGGAAAGCTTGAACAAGCAACAAGCTGGAAGATTGCTTGAGATAAGGGGTGTATACTGCCTTTGCCGCTGCAAAAGCAGCTGGTGTTTCCGACAACCTGGATGCCATCTCTCTGTGCTTGGGGGGCATTGGTTGAAAATCGCTTTTTTTTTTTGTTTGTTTGGTTTTTTTAAAACACAGCTCCCCAAACGGCTGTGAAATGTATGGCCTGATTTGTACAATACCCAACTCCTTGCAAAACAGAGTTTCAAAGTTTCCCCACACCATAGGTTGCCTCTGCCTCCAAGACTTTTGGAAAGGAGACTAGGAATGTCACAAGTATGTGGTCTGAGTGAGGGAGGGGGGACCTTGCGTCCCTGCAGCACAACGGTAGAGGATCATGGCAGTCTGAAACTCTGTCTCACACCTCCCAGCTGTAACCATGGCTGGAAGCATAGGCTACTGACAAGCAGAATGAAAAAGCTGTTCACAGGGTTATCCATTCAACACAGCACTGCTTCAGAGCAGGTTTCCTCAAGGCAAGATGGGACAGTCAAATTTTCCGGATTTCTGCAAGCATGGAAGGAAAGAGACCTGTTATACAGAAGCAGCTGAGGTGCTAAGATGACAGACAGGAGCAGCTTGACAGAAAAGGAGGAGGAGCTGTCAGACTAACTGTGATAAGGCCAAAATTGATTTAGGGATGGAGAATGCAGACATGGTAAGCAGTATGCCGTCTGCAGAGAAAAGCCTTCCCTGCTTTCAAGAAGAACATTGCCAGGCAATGCCTCCGGAAGCCCAGTGATAACCCTGCCGCCTCTGCCTTCCTCCACTGCCACAACCATCTCCTCACTGAAGGGGCTGCTTTATTCAAGCAAGAACCTCACTCCCCCACTGGAGAAAGGCAAAAATATTGGCTGTTTCAAGCCAGAACAACCACCAGCCTTGTTACCGGAAGGCACTGGAGCTGTGAAAAGTCACCGAACAATTCCGGTCTCTGGAGATCTTCTAGTCCAAACTCCTGCTCAAAGCAGGGCTACGCTGAGCACTGCTCTCCAGGAGAGCCCCCAGATGTGGACAAGACAGCACCCTAGGAGCAGGTGGGATCAGAGGGAAAGCACTTAAGGGATGAGCTGTTACAAGCCCTTAGAAAGCTTCTGGTAACCATTTGCAAGTGGCTGGCTATAGATGAAAAACTGTCTCGAGTCGGCGTCGCAGCTGAACAGCATTCCCCCACAGCAATGCTGCATTAATCACTCTGCTGGCTGACTTATCTCTCTACATCAATTAAAGACACAACATAAATACTGGATTAAAAAGCTGTAGTCATGTTCACTGGTCCATGCGTGATTTATCTGCAAGACGCACACAAACACACAGCCGGCCCAGAGAGTCTCTTTCGCAGCCGCTGCCGAACAAAAACCATCTCAACCAGACCCCTGCATCCTGCTGGCTCACAGAGGAGAGCGCCGTTTTGGCTTTGGGAGACTATCTCACCTGCTTTTGTTGCTGGGTGGGGAGAGGGGAAGGCAATTTTGTCCTTCTCCCTCACCTCTCTGCTGTCAGGTGCAGACCCAGTAAGGTCCTCTCCTGCCGGAGACAGGAGGCAGTCCAGCCCCTGGAGGGGGAGCAACCGGCAATGCTTCAGAGCAGGATTGGTCCCTCTGGGACCTCTGTCTGCATCCTGAGAGCGGGGATGCGAGCCGTTGGCCCCATCCTGCTCCCCTCCTTGCATCCCCCCTTCTCAACACTCAGGCAGAGGCTTTGCCTGAGCGACACTTGCATGCCGCAGTGGGGAGGATGACGAGGAAGCATGACACCTCCCTGCAGCACTCACGCAAAGGCTGGCTTTCACACACACAGACTCACAGTGGTCTGCCAGTAAATCCTGCTCGCACTGAGCAACCCCAGAAAGCTGCAGGCCGCTCCACCGATATGGAGTTCAGGTGCATGATGGGTCCCAGAGGAGGGCTGGAAATCAGCAGAGTATCCTTACATATTGCAACGGGAGCTCCTGAGATGCTGAGGTCAAGCACTGATCTCTGCTAAAGGCAAGGTACCAGCTAGCATGCAAAGCTATCTGGCCAGACCTCAGTGGTGCCACCCAAGAAGAGGCACTGTTGAGACCTCCTGAGAACCTGCCCCCAAACTTTACAATAGCACTGTGGGGAGGGGGGCAGAAAGCAAATGACACTACTGATGATCCTATTCCCAAAGGAGTCCAGGAGCCTTAGGCATTCACAACAGGATCACCTTTTTCTCTTGGCCTCCAAAATATGCATTTTTTTCACACAGGTGACTGGGATGCCTCAAACTTGTAAAGCAACGGAGCAAAATGGTGTTAACTAAAACTTGAGCAGAACCTGACAAATTCTCAGTAAACTAATCTGCACACCTCAGCACTCTCATCAAGAGTGCTCCAAGCTCAACGAACGTTTAATGGCTAAAAAATGCAGTGAAATACTGCATTTGCTAAGCCCAGATGAGACTTAAAAAATATATCCTAATCCATTTACAAATATAGATGGAAATAGAGAATAAATAATGAAAAATGAAAAAAAATTATCATTCTTGCAGTTCACTTTTTCACTTTTTCCTATTGCTTCAAATCATCTCGTCTGCAATGATTTCGAAGAGGAATTATCCAGTTTCTGTGTCAAAGCTGGGAAACACATTTTACAGGAATAATTTCTTTTTGAGCTCAGCAATTTAACTGCAGTCTACAGCAACCAGAATATTTTAAAAGCCAGGAAAAAAAAGTTAAATGTCACCTCTTTGCCTTTTAAAGCACTGCACTCCATAATCACAAGAGGTTTGCTGGGCATGTTGCAACCTACCTCCAAAACGCTCATCTAGACAACCCCGCCCTGACAGCCAAGCAGCGCCCATTGTTTCTGCTGCATGTTTCCTAACACCGTATCTAAGACAGGACAGCTTTCTTTCTCAAATGTGCATTTAGCACTCCCCGAACGAATGTCTTCTTCTCTCTCTTCTGCTTGTTTGTTTTAAACCACCAGAGCATGATGAACAGCTGCAGGGATCTCCTGGCTTTGTTCCCCCTCCATGAGCTGTTGATCTACCACACTCGATTAATTCAAACAATCCCTCCCAGTGAGCACTATCATGCACCTGTCTACACTGAACCTCCTAATACAGCATGCTGCACCACATCACTTTGGCTCCAGCAGCAGAAGGTATCTCTCTTCTTCAGGAAGAGGACTGAACGTTTGCTCCACTATAAGCATGCACAACTTCTAAAGCTGCAGCGCTTGGGAAGGGCTGATGGTTTCTGTTCAGGACTCTGAAGTTTTTAATGTTACGAATGTTGCCAGGGTTAGGGGCTGACCTCCTAACTTCTAGCAGGGAGCGGCCACTCTCAGTGGCAGATGCCAGATGCATGCGCATCCCAACATCACACGTGGAAATAGTCCCATCTGGTCTTGCTGCTGGGCTGCAACTGCAAGGGTCGATTTGCTCCAACACCTGGCAGCATCTGAGAGCGCAACATCTTTGTTACAGCCAATGGTGAGCACAACACTGGGAAAGCTGTTGCACGGTGGTCCTCAGTGGGGGAGGCAAGTCACGAGGCACCTGTTAAGGTCCTTCTCTCTTTGATCGCTCCCTGTCCTGCCCACTGAACTGGCAGTTCAATAAGCTAGATTAATTGACTTGGACCCTTCAGGAAGCCTGGCAGAGCACAAATCCACTCAGGTGGTAATTTTTTTGATGTGTGGCCCTTCGACTACTTAGGCTGGAAACACCACCGCATTTCTAAACAGTCCTTGCATTGATCTTGACGTTTCTTTATGCATTAAGAATTAGATCCATCGGGAGGACTGCCTTGTGCCAGACACAACAAAAATAACAGCAACAAACAGTTTTCAACTGGCCCACAACATTACCTCCCCCAAGGTGCTCTGCAGGAAAAGCCAGCTTGGCTGTACTACTCTGCATAGGGGAAGGGAGAGGCAGAAGAGGAGAGACCTGTCCGAGCTCACCCAGCGGGTCAGTATCAAAGTTGAGATTAAAACCCATGGTGGTAAGCAACAGCTGAGTCAGCGCTCTCTGCAGAGCCATGATGCCACCCAGGCAAGAGGGGCTGTGAAGCAGGAAAATGATTTCTCCATCATCTTTCTGCTCCCTGTGCCTGAAGGCTGCTGGCCAACCCGAGAGTCTGTGGCACAAACAGAGGGCTTTCAGGTGCGGAAAGCTCTACCCACAGTGATCTCTCCCTGTCCTGCACTCCCCTCTGAAAGCCTGGTGCAGGGTACGCAGGAGCTGCAAGGCGGGCTGGTTCCCTGAGGGTGGAGGGTAGGATCTGCCAAACCTGGGGCTGCCTTGTACTGGCCTCCAGGCACAGAGTAGCCATGACGGCATCAAATCCTGGCCCACAGCAAGGACAGGTCTGTCCTCTTCTGCGTTCTGCACCAGCCTCTTCCACCTATATGAGAGCTAAAGCAGGAAAATGGAGAGCTTAGGAAAATCCCTTCCTGAAGGGAAAAGGCAAAGTGCTTTGTCGTTAGCAGAGAAATTGCAAACACCTATCTGTGCACACCAACAAGGAAACTCCTGGAAGGGGGAGCATCGGGGCACAATATATCATAAGGCTCTATATAGCAGCTAAATGAGAGCGTATAGTTAAAAACTACACAGAGGCCCTTTGTCTTTAAAATACAACACTAATGGCTGACATCTACAGCAGCCTTCTCTGCAAAGAAATTTAAAGCCTGGGTTCATTCCAACTGGGTAATCCCTAATCTCCCTGACCACAGAGACAGCACGGGTTTGGATACCCCAAAGCCTGCTAACTCAGGAGAAGACTCTTTGCTTGGAAAGAGGCAAACAGATTATTCCAACACTGTCATCCCAGCATTGCCAGAGGTTTCCAGGTTTCACTCCTTCATGCTCATGGGTCCAGGGTCAACGCAGTAACGATAAGCAACAGTGGCTATTTACTGTAGCACCTGCTGCTAAGTACTAGTACCAACATGCTCTGCATTGTCAGGAAACCAGTGTTCCCAGCTCCCTAGGCTCTAGCCAGCTTTCTGCAGCTGCCCGTTTGCACAGCTTTTCTCATAGCTACAGCTCGCATTCACAGCACTGCAGCATTTGTCCAGTTACTTTCCCACCCACCACGTAAATAAAGTGACAAGTGACTTGAGAGATGAAAGCCACGTGCCGATGGGAGAAGATAAACGGGGAAGAGACAGAATATACGTCACAGCGCTCTACCCCTCCCCCAGCTCCTTTAGAAACAGAACAACACAAAAAAGTCCCGATGCTTCAATTGCTAAATGATAAATTAACAAAGCAAAGCAAAGCAGGAGCAAAGACATCTCCCACAATCTGCACAGAAACAGCAAAATATACAATAGAAAATGTCACTAACACCCCATTCAGGCAGATGCACTTATTTTTTGTGAATGACAGGTTATTAAATGAAAAAATTTTGACCACCGGTACTTTGCTGCATGGCTGTTCCCCTAGTTGTCATTTCCACCCTAAGTGACCTTCTGCTTAATGCTGGGTGTTTCTGGCCTGTAGTCCTTCCTCTCCGAGACATTGCGTTTCACCTTGGCACTAACTGGAGACTCCTGATTCAATGACGGACTCGAGTGGGATTTCTTCAGTCCTGGCGCATCGTTCTCTCCGCCGCACAGCAGTTCCTTCACCCCTTCCTTCAGGAGGCCAACATAAATCTCATAGCGGTTTTTCTGGGAAACGAAAAGAAAGACCCAAATCAGTCTGGAGGAAATTCTGCAGAAGCACTTGCGAGACCGTCTAGGTAACATAATGCTTTCTGCCGGCCTTGAAAGCTGGGAGCCTAGTACGGATGCGAACAATGGTGCCTGATGTGGACATGAACAATGGTGGCTAATGTAAATTACACCGTACAAAAAGGATTTCAGGCAGGCTGAGCCCAGGGGTGCTCTGCAATTAGAGTCACTCAGTTCTGCAGCACACAGACCCCAGTGCTCTGCTGAACAGTGGCTCCCAACTAGTTGGAGTGCACGGTGATTTCCAAGTAACAACACCAAGCAAGAGCTTGCTGACCTTAGTCACGCTGAGTCATATTCTGTGCTCACACATATTGAGATGTCATGTGCCCCACACAGACAAGGAGATAAGTGCAGCAAACTAAGGGACAACAAAAATCCTGCTCTGGTTGGCTACAGCTCTCCCCTGTGACTCTAAACTCCTGCCAGCAGATCCTGCTTTCCTTGCTCAGCCCATGTGGAAGAAACTGAAGCAGGGTGCCACTAAGCTCAGACTGCACCCACCAGCTTGGCCACCACGAAGCCCATGAGAGGACTCTCTGCAAGGCCAGATCTTAACAAAAAGGAGCAGATGTGAGGGCTATGACAACAGCGTGGCACGTTCCCCTGACAGGGACACTCATGGTGAATGATGCAGGTTGCTCTCTGTCCAGACGCTCCTATTTTTCAACTGGAAAAAGTTCACTTTACTGTGCCCCATGCCCACTTATTCTGTTGCTTGTCTGGAGCTGAGCTTTCCCTCTCCAGCGGGAAGATTTCACTCTGTGTGCCACAATGACATCTTTCTGCACAGAACATCTCAGCGACCAACAAAATGAGTGTACATTAACAGAAGATCCCTGCAGGGCCTCAAAAACAGAAGCTGGGGCAGGAGGTCCTGAGAACAGAGCAACCCACCTCCCGTGATTTGTTTAATAACCTGCCCCTGACATATGCACTAAAGACGTGGTGCAGGCATTGTAATTAAGGTGATCTCAGTGGGCTAGGGGCCAGGGAAGGAGGACGTAAACATCTGTACTGATTGTTAACTTATATTTCAAAGTGGCAAAACAGTTGCCAAACTATTATGTTCCTGACAGAGGAAAAAGTGTTTAAGAAAAATTCTTCCAATTTATAATAAAATAATAAAGTTCTGGTAATAACATTTATTCGAGGGCAGGAAGTCAAAAAGCTTGGTAACTGCTTTGTAGTGTGGAATAGAGAGGAAAAAAAAAGGCGAGAACGTGACTGGGTTTCCAAAGAGTCCTTTGAATAAACAAAGCCTTATAGAGGAGAATCATAAAAGAATCCACCTAAAAATTAAATAAAAAAGCATTCTTATCAATTCCATATCTGGAGCTTCAGCTCCACAATGCAAGAGACAAACACATGAAGCGGGTAAGATGTGTCATTCAATAAAAAAGGAAATGGAGAAACAGCAAGCAGAACCCTGATGATGATGCACTGGGCTGATAAATGATTCATCACACAACGAACGGGACACCTCTGCAAAAGAGAAAGCAAGCCAGTGCTCTAAGCCTGGGATCAGCGTAATATTCATCAAGGGAGAGAGGGACTTTACTGCCATACGGGCTTCTGCTTTTTGCTGGTCCAGTAAACACAAGGTCACAAGACCCAGCAATCAGAATGGGAATTCAGGACCAGTTTCTGCCCTGCATGTCTGCCAATGGCCATTTTGCCCTGGACTTTGTGAACCTATGACTTCTATCACAATTAAGCAATGCATTTGGAAGCTTCCGTTTTGATTTCAACTGCAACAAACTTGCTCTTTTAGTGATCTGACATTCGAAGCTAGGCATGAAAGCTGGTGGAAATTTTTCCTTAAAATAAATTAATCTGGAAAATTCTGCCAAGGAAGTAAAACCACAAAAGTTAAAACCATTCAAAAGCTTCTCCAACATTATCTCTGAAGACTGCATGCACATAATAAAGAGGAGATGAGGTCACCACCCATCAAATTTCTGGCTTCACCTCTAACCTGACAGCACTTCAAAAGATCTCTCTCAAACTGTAAATTTGCTGCAGTGAGCAATCATCATCTGGAGCAGTACTTCCTCAGACAGCAAGGGAGGAGGAAATGTTCCTTCCTTGGTGTCCACAAGCAAAGACACCAGCAAGAAGAAATGCTTCTGGCTGCATCCCTGAACAAGGACCAGGCACCTCCTAGTTCATTTCCCCTCAGAAGGCAGCACCATCTCACTTGGTCTTTCATCTGGAGCAAAAATGAAGGGAATGATGGTGGGTGAACAAAAAGGAATTACAAGGGCCTACAGAAAAGGAATTTGGCTGCTTCTTCCTTCCTAATGGGCCTATATGGCTTCATTTGGGACTCGCAGACCCTTCTGGTGTGCTTCTGGTGATGTATGAGCATGGCCCTCTAGTACACAAATGCAAGGTCTGGTCTGCAGTCTCAGCCTGAAAAAGCCAAGTACAAAATACTACCTTATCTGCTCCTTGCCTATTTGCTTTGACCCCATGCAGCAAGGTCTGTCACCAGCTCCTGCCTGACCCTGACAGGGCTTTGTTCTGAAGGGGATTTGAGGAAACCCCAAAACCAGGGGAAAGTTTCCATTCAGGATTTTCATATAGCTCACCTTCTCTTTTTTTTTTTTTTTTTTTTTTT